CCCCCCCCCATCTGGTTGCCATTCTCAATTGATGGGGAGGGGGCGGGGGCGTATTGTGGAGCCTGGCTTTGGGGCGGCAGGGGGAGTAAATCCAGCCCTGGCCACAATGCAATAAAACACGCATGCAGGGGTGTGAACGGGCCCTCAACCTTCGTGTTTTATCACTCCACCATGAATTATGAGGGAAAAGCGGGTTTAATACCCCTATGTGGGATGCTGTGATGATATAACCCCGTGTGGAACAGGCATAGGGAACCCATGGCCAGGTCTAATGAGTGCAAAGTCCACCTACTACACACCTATCCTCCAGTTATGGTTCAGTGACGGAATTCTGGAGAATTCTCAGAACAACATCCTCCGTGCACTTTGATTTTACATGTATGAACCCTGCGTGCTATATGTTGTTTGCTTTGTTAAATCTTTATGAAGTGAATCTTCCCCACCCACACATTCTGCGAGTCAATGTCAGCATACGTGAGCTACATTCATTGCATGCGGAGATTTCGCCTCCCCCTGTCTCTGACAGGAATCGGCTGCAGGGCACGGTACACAGTATTGGTTTAGGTAGACTTGTGTTCTGCATGGCTGCCAGTGCCGTCACAAGGGACCCTTTGGTGGCACCCGGGTGACACCAAAATGACTGACAGTACGGACCGAGCGCCCAACAGTTTCAGAGAGAGGAGGGGACCCGGCGGCATACACTATCCCTGCCGGGTCACTGTCCCCTCCTCTCTCTGCCGGCGTCCATCACCAAGATGGCCGCCGGCAGGTATCAATAAGATTGCCGCGCATACGCAATGACGTCACAGCGGGGTGACACCCGGTAACTGCCCCCGGGATGCCCCTGCCAGTGAATAATGCTCAATGAAACTGGAAGGACTGGTCAGAACTGAGGCTCACCTCTACATGGATCGTTCTTCACCAGGAACTCATCCAGCGCAATCCAGCCGCCTCCGACCCGCACCATCAACGTACTCCGCAGGATCCGCACCATGCGCAGCTGCTGGGATTCGCCAAACTGAGAGAGACACAAACTGACAATCTGACACAGCGAGGAGAGGGGGGGGGGGGGGGGTGGGGGGAGCACTACCC